TATTATTATTATTATTATTATTATTATTATTATTATTATTATTATTATTATTATTATTATTATTATTATTATTATTAAGTTGGAGCTGAGATAGCCTGCCCTTGATGCTAGTGTTGTTTTCAACTTTTTCAGTTGCTGCTTAGGTCTCGAGGACCTTTTCCCACAACCATCCCCATCAATGTGGATTAGCTGATCGCTTGGAGAACAGATAACCATTGGTGCTTTAACGCCCTGCCCTCTTGTCCACATCCAAGTTTCTTGTTGGATGCTTTTAAAAATCTCAACAACTGCTCTACAGGAAAGCTGGCCAGGTGGGGTGCTCTCCCTCTGAGAAATAAAAAAGCTATGAGAAATCATAACAGATGGCAGCATGCATTGGCTGACCTTGTAAAGCAGGGTTGTCAAACTGCCGGCCCATGGACCAGTTGTGTCATGGCGAAACTGCGCCCACCCCATTGCCGGCAATGGGAAAAAAAGTCACGATACATCGCGACACGTCACATGACGTTGCGAGTTTGACACCCCTGTTGTAAAGGCTAAGCAGGCTAAGACCTGATTAGCACCTGGAGGGGAGACTACCAGGCAATCCCACAGTTGCAAGTTAGGAGAATGAATTTGAAAAAAGAATGATGAACCACTTCCGTGTCATTGCCAAGAAATAACCTGAATGTGTTCTTGGTGCAATTACTCAAGTTATTTTCTAAAGCAGTGGTCTCCAACTTTTTCGACGTATGTGCACTCACCACCACTTCCATGGCCCAGTTCCAAACGGACTGTGGCCTGGCGCCAGGCTGCAGATCGGGGGTTGGGGGCCCCTGTTCTAAAGTGTTCCTGGGGGATTTGGCAGCCCTGCGAGAGGAGGTGGGGCCCAGGAGCTCCACCAGAGTGGCTTTTTTTTTTTTTTTTTGGCATGGAAGCCCCTTTATAACTGTTTGTTTCAGGATCTGTTTCTCAATTCCTGAATTAGCAACTTAAGCCATTCTTTGTCATAAAGGACAAGCAAGAGGAGGCCCGGATTGCTATCCTCCTCTAGGCACTGCTGATGTAACTCTGAAAGCAGTTTTCCTATAGCTTCTTCCTTCCTTCACAGGAATTCAAGCTGCTCTTTGTCATCAGTGCAAGGGGTTGTGTTTGCATATATAAACAGAAGTGGGGAGGGAGGCCAAGGGGGAGAAGAGAGGAAAGCTCTTCAGATTTCAAGGTCAGGAGGGAAAGAGCTGTTTTAATTTCAGTTCAGCCCAGCCATGCTGGAGATGGCTGTGAGGGAGACACTTCTGAAGGAGCAGCTTGGGTAGGGAATATATTATGGGCTTGCCTCCTTGTATCGAGGACCTCCAGTGTCCTTATGTCGTGGTGGATGACAGACGTTCGAGATGACGAGTCATCACTAACACAACACCGTCCCCACCCGTTGAGACCGTTCAAATGCTGGACACCTGAAGTTGAAGGTCTTAAGGACTCGGACGGTACAACCGAGTCCTTAAGACCCTCGTCTGCAGGTATCCTGCATTTCAATATCACGCCCACCCCTGTGCTATGGCG